CTTATGGCAGTACTGTCATGTGCTAAAAAATAAAAATTCAATCAAAATTATTAACTTACATATAACATTTGAATGAAAAAAATTACCGGTCAATTAAAGGACGGTTAAATAATACTTTTCTGTATTCCTATTGTAAAATATATACTGCCATGAGCTAAAAAATAAAAATTTAATTGCCTTATTTGTATACCGGTATTTAAGTAAGTTATTAAATTAGGCCTAAAATTAAAAAGTTCAATTAACGGACAGTTAAATAATACATTTCCTGTATTCCTTTACAGACATCCCTTAAATTGGTTGGTAATAAATCTAAGGATTTTTGTAGTAAAAATTCTTGAAAATCATACAAAAACGTTTTGATTGTTTTCTGGTTTTGATGTTTTGCAGGTTTCAAGATTTGTTTAGAAGGCAGTGCATATTTATGACTATAGTACTAGTGATGCTACGTTCATGATGTAGGTATGGATAGATACCTCTATGGTTTAGTCCGTCTCCTCTACCCAATTTGGTCCTACGTGGTCTCATGGTAGTAAGGTCCAAAGAGGTTTAGGGAGTTGGGCCAGTAAATTACATCATAATATTGGTGATTTCATATTCATTGTGGAGTTAAGTTCCTGATTCTGTTGAAAGTTAGCCGATAGATTAGCAGTTATATGTATTATCACCATTATGATAGGATTGTAATTAGATCATGTTCTGACTGACACTGATAGCAGTTTGGACAATACCAACTACGGTACTTTATTATGTACCACGTCCTATGACTTTTATATTCAATAATGATGATTTTAATATTAATGATGTTAATACTAATAATAATATTAATAATGATAATGATAATAGGCCTAATATAATAATGATAATAATGATAATAATAATAATAATAATAATAATAATAATAATAATAATAATAATAATAATAATAATAATAATAATAATAATAATAATAATAATAATAATAATAATAATAATAATAATAATAATAATAATAATAATCGTTTGTGTTATTATAAGTTTTTTTATGGTACCCGTATTCTCCCATACATTATAGTAGGCAAATTTAGGAATGAAAATAATGTGGACTGTATTATCTTATGCATCTGTTTATTGGCGATGATGCTATGAATAATCATTAATGATAGGCCTATTGTTAGACAGGAATAATACTTTTATATGCCTACATCACAATAAGAAACGGTAATGACACTGACTTAAGCATTGTCTGTAACTATAGTGATATACCATTTAATTACCATATGAATACTACAATTATTATTGAGATTACACTACAATTTGTATTTTATGTTTGGATCGTAATCTATGATTTATTAATAAGTAATGAAATTTGCGTAGACTTCAATATATATAGATTATTAATAAATAACGCCGACTTATGCATCATCTTTAACTAAAAGTGATATGTCTATTATTATCATAGGAATATCACTAATTATTCATATTGTAATATACTACAAATTATATTTTGCAATAGATTGTATGCTATAAGTAATCCATTATTAAGTAACGATATTTATTTAGACCTCAAATATATTAAGTCAGAATGATAGGCCTATATTATGACTTGTTTAATTATTTTAAATATTATTTTTACTTGATGCATTATGGTCTCACTTTAACAGCGGCTCTCTCATTACGCGGTAAACAACATTCGGCAAACTTGCCTCATTTTCAGACTATTGTTGCAAAGCGCAGAGAGCAAATAATGTCAGAGTGCAAACAAATATGCTATTGTATAAGCGTGGGTTTGTTGAGCTATATATTGACACAGTAAGTAGAGTGATGATTATATTTTATTATTATAGCTAGTTAAAATTAAGATAATCTTATTTTCATGTATATGAGTGAAGAATTGTTTAGGTAACATTAATGTTTAACTATACAGTGTCATTGTTGAATCACTTGATAATCATAATTAATTAATTAATTAATTAATTAATTAATTAATCATTATTCAATAACCATGAGCCGTTATTCGTTAATCTTTCATAATTAATCATTTAAATCATATTTATTCATCGGTATTAGTCTCCTTTATATTTTAATCGTTTCTCTTCATTTAATAATCATTAACCATGTACACTTCTTATATTCAATATTGAACACTATTCTGTACAATCAAACATATTACCTAAAATATTTTTCACTCATTTACACAAATAAAAAAATAATATACATTATGTTTACATAGTTTTTTTGTTTACATGTTTGTTTCTTTCAATATCTATTCGTCCTGAGCAAGTTAACAACATCGTTTTTACATTTTTACTAATGGTCTATAATGCTTTTATTATTTATTATATGAATGATAAATCAGAAAAAGGTGGAATAGTTTAGAAGATGGGTATGTTCAACAATGGACTGAGGAACCTTGACGTAAGTAAATGAATAATGATTTAAAATGGAAGTAATGATTAAAGATTATTGATTAATAGTCATTAACTATTATATTATTATCAATAATAATAATAATAATAATAATAATAATAATAATAATAATAATAATAATATAATTGAATGTCATTCTTCGAACCACATTAAAATATCGTTATAATCTTGTATAAGTTATTGCAATTTGAAGAATAACTATACCTATTGGTATTGTGCTTAATCAGCTGTGCATTGTCGTGTTGGTTTACGAGACTGAATATCCAGTCGTTTGTAAAAATACAATGCCGTTTGAATCTGAAGAAATAAAAAGGGTTTCTCACGGCTGATTGATATTTTCCTCAACAAAAGTAAACATAAACAAAGGAAGTACATTGAATGGATATTCTTCATCGATGAAAGGTAAGGTCAAAGGTGATGGGCTGATCAAATGCTACACAATATACTGTTATTAGACATACCTGTTTAACACTGTTTAATACGGACTGTCATGCTAGGGTGGTATCACATAAAAGAACCCAAATCCTTATAAAATACTGAAGAGAAGAACTTGCGATATTTTTCGCAATTGTTTTTACTGAGTATTCAGTACATTTCCACGTCAGGTAGGGCAAAAATTACACCTATACATGATTCTCCTGACGCAAATCCAGTTATTGTCTATTCTATCACGACAATAACAATTACTATATAATATATACTTGTTTTCTGCGTTCCAGTTTCAAAGTAACGGGTAACAGTGTTATGAGATGTGTATAAGAGACAGGGACAATACCAACTACTTTATTATGTACCACGTCCTATGACTTTTATATTCAATAATGATGATTTTAATATTAATGATGTTAATACTAATAATAATAT